CAAAGGAAGAGTACCAGGGCTTCTTCTCTGCCTCCATTTCGGGATCAGAAGAGCTGCGCGTAGCCTTCTCGACTTCGTAGTCGTAGCCACCGGCCTTCTCAATGTCATGCTTCTCGTTGACAGGGTGGCGCTGGTGGAGGTTGGTGCTGTCAACACCAATGGGCGTGAATTGGCTGGCGCTGTCAAGACCACTGGGCCGGAACAACTTGCTGGTCGGCTCGTCTGTGGTTCCGGTGGTGTAGACAACGTTGTCAGGGTGGGCCGCACGCGCGCTGTGGTGCACGTGTTCGTGGTGGTGCTCGCGCGCAATGTCTAGCGCCGGGTCGTCATTGCGGGCGACACCGGGCATTGGTGAGCCGTTATGTTGGTCGCGGATATCAGCCATGGCGACGAATAGGCACAAGGGCAATTCCTGAACAGAGGTTGAACGACGAGGAACTGTTGGTTCTCATATCGAGGTCGGCCCTCGCGGAATTATATTTTCGCACCGTGGCACGCGCTACCACCAAAGTGGAGGGATCGCACCGTCGCTGGCCCAGACAAACAGTTGAACGGGCTCCAGACGGTCACTTGGCAACTTCCTCTTTTGCACTGGCTAGAGCACAGTAGCACAGGGTTCCATTGGCTCCCGGTCGTCTCCGCTTTCTGGAATATCTACCGTCTCATGTTGGTGCTCGCTTACTCGCTGTTCACACGCCTGTCTCTTGTGTCAACCCGACCCAGTACCGGCCGACCTACCGCGCTTCTGCAACCCGGACCAGGTTCTTATCTTTCCCCAGCCTTGATAGCCTGTCCAAGCGCCAATCACGGAGATGAACGTGCTGGAACGCCCGCCTAGTCCGTGATAAGCGGCGGCGAATATGCGCCCCTCCTCGGTTGAGGCTCTGTTTTGGGCTTCGCGTGGCGTTCTCGAAGCAACACCTCTGCCTTGACAACCCGACCTCCATCGTCTTCCCCGAGGTCGACGTTTCCGCTGCCCTGGGTCATGTGCAGAAGCAATTCCCAGGGTCTCGCAGCAATTGCACAGGGGCGAAGACAGCATCTGCGAACCGTCGTGGTCGCTGAATTTCGCTTGTACTTTGTCTTTGTGGACCCTCCGGAATGCAGATCAGACCGGGTACTCCGTCTGACGCAAGGAGGCCAACCCACTCCTATCAGTACGCTGCAGCGGGACACGCGCGAACGCCATGGTAGCACACGGCGTGCGCCTCCATCAGCGAGTGTTGGATTGGTGTCCCTCAATGCTACCTATCTGACCAACGGGTCTCGACCAGCGCTATCACCATCATTCCGATAACCAGGTCTACGCTAGGGACGCTGGACCACCGAGCGCGCTTGTGGTGTCCTGCAGCTGAGGGAAGCTGGGGTTCTTATCACGAGGGCACGCATCGAGATATATGCGCCGAATCATGTCGCGGACTTCGCCTGTGTATACACTTTGGATAGCCGCTGTCTTGGCTGGCCGAGCGATCCTGACATGCTTTTGGACGCCAGACGCATTGTAATGAATGCCGTTCAAGATCCGCAGGTGGCCTTGGGACTAGCCTTGTCCCTTCCCCGCAGCGGGCCCAGCTCCATGCGGTAGCACATCGTGTGGGCTGGCATCATTTTGAGCTGGACTGCGAAGCCAGCCCTCCCGAATTCCTACTTCACAGTGCTCATCACATGGGGAAATGTCTGCATCGCGTTGCTCCAGCTTAACGTCCTACGCTTTGCACTAGGCCAAGTTGTCGGCACTTCTCCCATGTCAGGCTTACCACCCCACCCGAGGCCAACCGAATGGTTACAATTTACTGTACCTAATCATACTTTACGTGGCGTCTGCTAAGAGCATAATCACGGAATACCAACAACTAAGAGGCACAGCCATCCGCGGAGCCTCCATCCACTGATTACATATATTCGATTCGAAGGATTATGGTCGATGCAGCACCTTATTCGCAATCCGGAACACTTACTTTTTGCATCCGTGCTGTCCGTCATCTCGGTCGGTTCCTATCAGTGTCTGGGAGAGAGTCTCCACTTTCCGAGACGAAACACGGGTGAGGAATACATGTGTGTACACCACGTCAAGCAAACACGAGCCTGTACATCTGCGCTATTGCGTAAGGCTTTTCGACTAGTATTGGGTGCAAATCACAGCGATATCACGATTATAATCGTATGTTTGCGAAGCACATGCCGGGATTTCCAGAGCTGATCTAGGCATACCCGTCAGCGACAGGAAGGTGTGCCCCTAGATCCATAGCACAGCTCCATTTTGGGGTTGTGAATTGAATCGCTGAACACACTTTCTTTTGGGCAAGTCATCTTTCTTTAATATTGTTGTACTTTCACTGATCAAATCACGGTTCCCCCGAAACACGATCAGCGCAGCCTCCGAACGGCCTTTGGCTATTCTCGCGCGTTATTTATCCCAATGAGCTTAGCATCCTCATCTTCTTCGTCCACCGCACTGCAGCTCATACTTCCTAGCGCGCACTGCACAAGCCTCCTTACCGGCCACAAAGCTTGTTTGTTCACTCGCTTCTCTGTCGTGGCTGTCACCCCGTCGCTAAACCGCGAAGCCTTATTCAAACCTCATCAACCGAGTACATCAACCACTACGGACGCCACAATAAGGTTGCGGGACACGACATGTTAGCATTGTGCGATTGTACCAAGCATGTTTGGCCCACGGCTACCTACTTTCGTTTAGGTTGATCACAGAATCTGGTCCCACGTACCTAGCCTTGCGAACGTGTGCTTGGTACTACCGCGTGCTAACCCGTGATGTGAACCTCATGCGGAGAGCAAACAAGTAGTCACGTATTTTGTAATGTGAATAGTGACGAATTGAGAATGTGCTCGACGTAATGGGGAAGGCCTGCTCACATAGCAAATAGGCCACATGGATAAATCAATATTCCAACATCGGTATGCCACTTGATCACACTTTGCGCCCCATGTGATTGCTCAACCACATGTCCACAGGTTCGCTGCAGAGCCAGTATCACACTGCATGTTCTCATAAGATGAGTACGAACAAGTGATTCGAATACGTAACGACAAAGGGTATAATCAGCCCGACCGAACCCTCAACCAATACTACCATACCATGCACCTTACACCGTACCCAATGCCGCTAAACAACAATACCGTTGATGATGATAATACAAGTTGCCATAACCCACATAACGAACGCCCCCTATGCACGGCGAAATCAGAGTGATGGAACCCCAAGCCTCTTACTTGCCTGTCAACTCGCCTTCCAGGTGCTGATAGTTTGTTAGTCATGATGTTACTGTGTCAGGCACGAAAGTGTTGAATACTTACCGACCACTCTGGAATGTCACGTATCCGCTGCCACATATATCTTTCCAAACGATTCGCCGCCTTCGCGTACGGCGTGCTTTCATTGTTGTACTTGCGGCAATTGTCGAAGATGAGCTTCGCATCTCTGATGAAGTCCTCGGGGGTAGGATAAAGATCCTTTTCGTGTTTCTCTTCCATGGTCGCGAGGTCCATGGGCTCTTTGATGACGTCGTAATAGTCAAGCACCTCATCCTTATTGACGGGCTGTTGGAACGGCCAGGCGTTGCTGTTGTTCTGCATGTCGTTGAGGAGATGGAGAAGGGCATTGTAGTTGGGTCCGTGGCGGGGCGCGCGAGCGAGTTCGTCCATGACAGGTGACCAGCCGGAGTTCTTGATGGCAGGAATGGTCAGGGGGTCGATGGCTTTCAGTTCGCCCTTTGCCCATTGCGTTGGCGGCGCGTGGACTTCGTAGCTCTTGCTCACGGCCCTTATCTTGGCGTTTGCGCATTCCTTCTGCTTCAAGAGCATTCTGCCGCTTTCCAAGTATCTTATCTTGGGCACCATGCTACACTGCATGATGGTGCCGCCTTCGTAGTCCTTGATGTAGCCCATCCATCTTGACTTTTCCAGGGTGATCTCTTTGGTGAAGCCTTGTTTTTTGAAGTATCCGATGGCGTAGTTGTCGGCGTAGGTCAAGAAGTGCATGACCTGCGAGGTGGCTTTGACGTAGTCTTTGAGATGGGACATGAGATGGGCACCGTAGCCCTTAACCTGTTGATCCGAGGAGATGGCGCAAAAGACGATTTCGGCGAACTGGCCTTTGTCGAAGGGACGGTATGTGATGCCACTGGAACGTTGTATTGTCAGCGTCTGGCCAGACATGGGACGAGAGCCTTTACATACCCTACCACCTCGAGGGGATGCTTCACGATGGCTATGCTCAGATGGGTCCTGTCGTAGACGAGGCGCGCAATATAGTCCTTTGGCATTTTGGGCAACTGTTTCTGGAAGATACACTTCAAGCCTGTCAAGATGATGGTGCTCTCCCTCTCCCCATCATTGTTGACCACCCTGAATTCAATCTCCCCATTGCGCTCTTCTATGACAGCAGGCTTCTCGGGGAACGGCACTATACGTTTCACGGGAGGCGCGGGGGCATCGTCGGCGGCAGAAGGTGTCGAGGGGTCCTGCTTTATGCGCTTGGGAGAGCCGTTGGGAGGGTCGGTGGTCGCTTTGCGCTTAGCTTCATCGCGGGACAGGTTAGCTTGTAGTTCGCGAAGTCGTGTGTTGGAAGAGGACTGCCGGGTGTGTCGGCGAGGTATGGGGGGAGGAGCGAGCAGTGGTGAAGTTGGAGGAGAGGTGGGATAGCCCAACACGTCGCGCAACTGCGGGATGTCGTTGCGGGGAGACATGCCGGCTTGTGGGTACGATGCACGTCTGTTGACGCGCATGAAGCTGGAGGGGGTATGCGCACTTACTGTCGTCGGTCGCGCCCGCCATGTTGCAGTATAGGGCGCCTTCTGTGTGCCGTCGCGCCTTCTCTCAGCCCTGTGCGTGGTGTTGACTGAATGTCGGGGAAGTTGCGCCTCCCGCGCTAGTCGCCCCACACCAATCACGGCCGATCACCTGCGAGTGAACACGAAAGGCCACCAAAGCAGCTTCACGAGAGAGAGACACTTACATAACCCAATTGCACGCCTGCACACATGTCGAGCCCACTTGTAGACGTCTGGGAGGCTGCTGCGTCCTCGCCCTTCAGCCCTGCCGTTGGAAAGAACACGCAGTTCACAGTCGGCTTCGTGCTGCTAGCCATCTGTATGTTGAAGCTCTGCTGCTTAGTGGACCTCTGCTAACAACGCGCGCAGCTCTCATCTTGACTACCATCTTCGGCTTGAGTACGCGACATAGCCACGCCCCTCTAGCGAACCCTACTTATGCGCACACAGACCGCTCCTTCATCAACCTCCCCGTTCTCGGTGTTCCCGCGTCATTAGCATTCGGGTACGTGGCCTCGGAAACCCAGCTGCAACATGCGCCCACTGACTGCAAACAGCTTCGGCGCTGTCTACATGATCTGCGCAGTCGGCGTATACGTCTAGTTTCCTACTTCTCCATCCGGCGTTAGGGGCATACTGTGTACAATCTATGGAATACCAATAAAAGTTCAAGACTCTCGAATCTACCTGCGCGATACTCCATAGCCCATACACTCACAAAACAGCACCATGGATGAAGAAGAGCCCCCAATCCTCACGGCAGTGTCAAGCTCCGCGCGACAATTGTACCTGCTCCTCCGCTGCATCGCCTTCTCCAACAAGGCTCATGTCCAGATCAGCGACATTGGCATGAAGCTCGCTGTGGATGAGGCGAGCGTCATGGAAGGTACGTAGCGTCTAGATGCATGGTATTTGGCACATTCCAAAGCTGACACGACTATAGCATCCGCCTTCCTCGACAAGTCTCTCTTCACAACCTACACCTTCAACGCGCCCGCCCCACTGCCGAACTCACAACATTCCGACAGCGACGATGAACTCGACCCAACATCTACTACCACTCCCGCGTTTCAAATATCCCTTCCCGCTCTCCTTGAGACCCTCCAAATCTTCGGCCTCACCGACCCCTCCACTTCCAAACCACCATGGGCGCGCGATGGTGCATATCCCACCAGCACAGCCTTCACTGGGAACAACATATTAGGCGGCATGAACAACCTCTGTCGGATAAGCTACGATGGCCCCGGCGCTCCACTGGCGGTCACCTTGACAGAGGCGAGCATACGCACGCAATGCGATCTCACGACGTACGAGCCAGAGTACACAGACGAAATACCCTTTGATCGACAAGCCCTCGCCCTGAAAATCATCATGCGAGGCAACTGGTTGTATGATGCGGTACAAGAGCTATCATCTACAAGCCCAGAGAAGCTCACCATGTACGCCAAAACCGTGCGCGGCAAACCCTTCTTCGCTCTATCGTCATCAGGCACTCTAGGCTCAGCGCGCGTCGAGTTCAACAATCAGCCCCAGCCCCAGCCCTCTGCCTACCGCACTCCTGCATCCACGAACCTCAACACGAACAATGAGGCAGCAGATCAGAAACCTACCAATCTGCTCGAGACCTTTCAGCTCAGCGATCCACAAGCCGTACTCCGCTCGTCCTACAAGTTTAGCTTGATACAAAAGGCCGCGCGCGCCATGAACGTTGCGACTAAAGTCAGTATACGAGCCGATACCCAAGGCGTGCTGAGTCTACAGTTCATGATTGAGGTCGAAGGTAGTGGGTCGGCTTCTCAAACTGGGCCTGGAGGGGCAACAGGCGGACAAGTGAGTTTCGTCGACTTTCGCTTCGTCCCGCTGGTAGAAGAGGATGACGAGGAAGCCGAGGGTGCAGACGTTGACGAGACCCTGATGCACAATGGCCCAGGAAGCGAAGACGAGGGTGGCGCTTACGATATGCTATGAGAGCATGATAGGCATCACTACTGGCAGAAAACAGGGAGCTTGAGCTCAGCATATGTCGATTTTGCCAATTCTTATATTTGCTAGTCTGTCCAGACCCGAACAGAGTAGGAAATGAAATGCACAATCGTACAATGTCTTCTGCGATAGAGCAACCAAGAGCCTTTGTTTGACAGCCTCTTACTTAGAAGTCCTGACGTTTTGCTGTGAATAAGGCCCCAAACTCGACAATTCCTTCTTTTACTCAAGCTGAAAAACTCCACCTGATGAAATATAAACCTGCCATGGAGTCCATACGCCTGTGCTTGGACACGTGAGGTCAGCCAAACGTCTAGTCCTGACCTGAGTGCAAAATCAATCTGGATAGCGTAAACTAGGAGTACTCCGGACGCCCAGTCGTCCTGTCCATAGTTTTATGTAATGCGTCATGGGAAACAGCTTCTTTCTTGTTTTCTTCTTTCTCGAGTGTCGCGCCAGGCCATAGTATCCAATCTGATGCCCGTTATCGATGTTCGTACCGAGCCGCTTTGTCGTCGCGAAGGGGGATTGAGCTTGGTGAGTCGTGTATCAGGCGTGTTAGACTCGCGTCTCGATCGAGTGGGGTTCGTGCGCTGCACGGAGCGACTTAGAACTCGAGTTCAGCTACCACGGGCATTAGCAATGGGTGGCGAATGTTCACCATTCGAATTCACCATTTGCTTTGTGGAACAGGTATCTTCCTTATCGTTAGCAAAATCTCTTCAAGGTCTCAGCACTCAACTTACTCCTTCTTGTTCGTGGTCAAGATGCCGTCCTTGAGCGTGCACTTCCACTTGTTCTTTACGCGCTGGACTTTGTCGTAGGTGCACAACATATAGTCGACCATTTCATCGTCGCTGTTATCGCCATCCCCAAGTTCGTCCTCGGAGTCATCTAGGTCAGAATTAATGGCGTCATCCGGATCTTCTTCTGGCTTCACATCGTCGTCACCGTCAAAGCGCGCGGGAACCGGTGCGCTTGACGAGGCCTCTGCGTCTTCGGCCTGCAGGACACGCATAGCCGCCTTACGCTTTCTGCCCTTTGGCATCGAATCGAGCGGTACCATGAGACCACTGTCCTGACGCATGGCCATGGCATCAACGCGAGAACGCATGAAGTCGTCCGCCGCCATGCGCTCTACTGCATCAGCAGCGCGTGCGGCCTTCAAGGCCTCCCAGTCAGCCATAGCATCACCCGAACCATCAGTCTGTGAGGTGTACATGTGATTTTGCGGTGGGGGACGCTGCTGTGGCATTCCCTGCTGTTGCTGTTGCGGGGGTCGTTGATGCTGCTGCTGTTGTTGTTGCTGTTGTGCCATCATGCGCTGCTGTTGCTGCTGCTGCTGGTTCTGCATAGGCATTTGAGGCAGATGGCCCTGTTGCGCCAGATTGGGAAAGTTCTGCTGCACATGTCCTTGCTGCTGCACTCGCTGCTGTACCAGAGCAGCTGCACGCTGGTGCGCGAGCTGCTGGTTTTGATCATAAGTACCGCCGTAGCCGTTGTTCGCAGTTTGAGCAGGAGGATAGTTGGCAACTGGTGGCTGATATCCTCCTTCTTGCTTCACGGGCACGTTGGGGAAGTTGAGAGCCTCCTGAGGTCCGGACACGGAAGGCATATCATTGTCAACCTTTACGTTGGACGGTACCGTAGGCGGCTGACGAACAGGCTCAGGAGCAGGGTCCCATGGGAAGTGAGCAATCTTGAGAGCGGATAGCCTCTCTTGCCAGCCCTAGCGATAGTTAGTATATGCTCAGCACAACTACAACAAAACGTGATGTGTGAACAGCCGTCACATGACAGACTATGCCTTGTTGGGAAATGATGCGTTGGTCTTGGCGGGTGGGGGAGCTGTGCAGGGGCTATAAGAAGGCATCTCAAATACTGAGGCGCCCCCGGAGCTGCCAGACCGACCGGCAACTCCGCCCCGCTTCCAGCCGCCCATCACCCAAGCCAGGCGGTCACCGCGCGATCGCAGCAGCCAGCGAAACCGATGCGAGAAATGAATTGACAAGAAAAGTGAGAGATATAAAAAGCGGTGTGACGGCGGTCGCAAGTGTGCTGCGATAAAGAAAAGGAAGGCGCGCTGGCCGAGATGGAGGCCAGGTTGCAACATACCTGCTTCATCTCGTCGAGCGTGCTATGATCGACGCCCGACTCCTCGAAGTCATTCTGCGAGGTCTGGATCACCTTCTCGATGATCTGCTGGTACACGCCGCCCTGGTGGTTGCTGTTAGCAAGCCTGCCTTTACCCTTCCACCGCTCGCATGCGCGCTTTGGGGATACTAACCACGACCGAGTTCGACATGATCGCGACTGTTTGATATGGTCTGAGCTATCTAGTATACGGTGCGAGCTCTGTGATAGCTGCGCGACGGCTTGTGATGGTTGCTCGCGTGCAGAGGACTGAGGAATAGGCAGGCAAGCCAGGCAGGCGACGTCAGCGCTTGAGGCTGCAGAGAGGTGCGCGCGCTTGAGGAAGCTTCTGCGCGGTCAAGGAAGTTCTACGGATATCGCTAGCCCAGACGGAAGGCTTTGTACGACGTGTTCGGGTGCCCTCAGCTTTCGGGGTCGTGGGTGTATGAGTGATAGTGAGCGGCGTTCCGGCAATCATTGAGGGCGCCGGTTCCTTAGCGCCTAACGCTACTCTAGCGCCACACGTGACTACGCTCACAGCTCAACATCCAAAGAACGCGATGCAACGTTCAGGCAGATTCGAAATATAGTAGTGCTCATAATCAATATACATACGAACCGATTCAAATGTTGGTACAAACGTCGTCAGTTCATCAATTGCACCTCAAACAGCCAACTGCATCCCATAAGAAGCAAAACTCCCGCCACTGCACTCGAATCGCACCTGGGTATCTTGGCATGCTCCTCGCAATCGCTACCGGCTAATGATCATGCACCAAAGCCTTTTGTACCGCTGCATCGACGTCCTTGCGCCTATACCCCGGTGATCGCCCGAGACACACGCCGTGTATAATGATCTCTGTCGTAATTGTCAGCCAACTGTTGACCTCTCGTGAATGTGTACACTCACCATCAATCAGCTTCGAAACGTCTAGCCAGGCAGTCTTCTTCCGTTTCTGCCTCACCACTGGTAGAGCTGCCGCTACATCGCTCATCATGTTCATGCCCAGATCTATGTTGTCCATGTGAAAGGCGGGTGTATGCGAAAACCCATAATCATACCCAGGTGCGAGATCCAAACCCAGGGTCTGATCATATGAGATTTCGTAGTTGACAAGCCTAGGGTATTCACCGGTGTTCCCAAAAGACAGGTCTAGCCCATAAGCTCCACTATCCGCGATGTTGTAAGAGTTGTTTGGCGGATTTGTCGAAGTGGTTGACGGAGCTGCCGATGCGTTTGCGGAGTTCTGGTGAAGAGGAGGCAGACTCGTCGCGTTGTGTGGTCGTTGCCGTAGTGCGCTGTTGGGGGCTCTAGACAGTTCTTCGTCGTCAACTTCGATGACACACTCGGCAAACGAGCTCTTCGGGTCGAGCTTGCACGAGTATTTTTCTTCCAAGTAGCCCTGTACGTCGTAACAATCGAACCATTCCCCCTCGTATCCACGGAGGTCCACACCGCGTAGCTCTTCACTCCTGCCGTCTTCTGTATTCTCTATTATGAGCACCTTGTTCTCTGTTGGCCCAATTTGCCGTACGTTCCATCCGTTTCTGACAGACTTTACGTTGCCGGCAGCGTCCCGTCGCGGATAATGAGTTCCTGCACCACCGAGATGGAGGAATGGCGACTCCCACCAGTCCAGGTCTTCGTCAATGCCACGGGCCATGATAGTTCGGAAGCGGCTTCGTATTTGATCGAGGGTCTCATGAGGTAGAGAAAGCTTGAAGACACGGTTGATTGCCTAGCTGCCATGATTAGCCTTGTATCACTACTCAGGAGAAAAGGCAGTGAAGCCACAGAAACAATTCCTACATCGACTAGCTGAAAACGTACCGTAGGGCGAGCTTGGGCGTTGCTAAGCAAATGAAACCCCGCCTCAAGCGCCGCCCTCGACAATCGTCTCGCAAATGTTGTTTCTTGGAAACTGTACGTTGTGACCGGAGGGAGCGTCTTCGACGATATTTTCGATAGAGGCGGCGTGGGCAGTCTGTTCGATGGCGGTGTCGCTTCAGGCGTCGGTACACGGACGGAGTACGTGTGTAGGTTTGTTGTTCCATACGGTGCTTGGTGCTGACTCAGAAGGTCTACAAGGCCGAAAGGCAGTTGCGTCGGTTGGGATGAAGTATGCGATGGTGATGGGTCTGCTGGAGGCTGCGAGGATCGGTGCGACTGGTCGAAGACCGAACCAGCTCCAAACTGACGGCAACCCACCAGATCGCTCCTGCGGGAGTCTACATTGCCATATGCAGCACTGATGTGGGCGAGGTAGCTATCCGGTGTTGACAATTGGGGCTGCGGACGCTTCTCAGCGGCTGGTTTCGGAACTGCGGAATATCCCCATCCAATGTGCTGCACTTCAGGCTCTGGTTCGGCTAGCTTTGGTGCACCATTCCCTTCAATCCCGTGTTCGCCGTGTTCACCATCTTCGTCTCCGTCGTACTGGCCCTCGTTGGCTGTCTTTGTCAAGCTCGCGAACGTCTCCGTTACCAGCTTGAACTCTTGGGCCAAACTCGGATTCAGCTGTAACAGACCTGACTTGACGGTGGACTCGTTTAGCTTTAGAAAGGCCTTGTTCATCTGCTCGATAATCGAGTGGAGCTGTGTGCTTTGACTCTTCAACGACGCGATGGTGGTTTCCTTCCGCTGCCGATATGCACGCTGCGCAAGCCGGATTTGAGTTCTTCGTCTCTGGTACATCTGTCAGTACATCCGACATGAATGCTGAGATCGGATCGCGAGGAGCTTCATGCTGGGCAGTGTCATCTGGAGCACGGCAGGCTCATCAGCGTCGTTCACAGGAGGTGGGGATGACGATGAGGAGCTCACAGTGGGTCGAGCTGGAGAACACATCAACAACTTGACAGCTTCTTCGATCAGGACAGGTGCGCATGTCCCGTTTACCCTCCCGCTCCAAGAGTTGACAACGACGAATCGGGTAGATAGAACAAAAAGGACGTTGCGTCTCCACTCACATCTGCAGCCGTGGCGTCCTGTGTGTCTACCCGTGGACGGCCCCTAGCCTTCTTTCCTCCAGCACCACCGTCATCGACGCTGTCCCTCCTGCGTGAGCGCTTCCGTGATGTCTGCGCCTGTTCTGATTCTGAGCTCGTCATGATTCTGGTTTTCGCTTCTGATACCGCTGATCGAACAGAGTAAGGTCCGGAGGTATGTCACCGAAGGAGTTCGGTGGAACCAATAGCGAGACTGACTACGAAAGGCGAAAGGATGCTGAACCGAAGTCGGTCTCCACGGACTACTAATCACTCCGTTCCGACTCTTGAAACACCGCTATCGTTCACTTGTGAGGAAAATCGTAAACGCTTCGTACAGATTCTCAATGGAGTAATTTGGTTCGCGTAAAAATAGCGGGAAGACGTTGTGTACATGTAGATTGCATCCAGGACTAGTTCAACCTGACGCAAGCCAGACGGTAGGTATGGAAAAGCAAAAGATGCTCCGGCGCCGATTCAGTGAACGGCCGCTACAGCTCACAAGGTTCGAGATCGATCAAGGGTCCGCTGTTACACGGGGCTAATGCGCGTCTCCGCACAGGATGCGGCTAGTTCCTGCTGTCTGTAGGGCGAAGAGGCGGACGAGTGCATGGGCGGGTGGGTTCATGACCATAGGTTTGCAGGCGTTGTGGTCCCATCCACGTGGGTTTATTTGCGTGCAAATTTATAACTCGCAAGCCTATCCTAGACATTCTTGATGGTGAGATGTTTGAGACCGAGGTCGTCGGAGCTTAGTAGCTGGGTGTGACCAATTGTTTCGTTGTGCGTCTTGTAGCTCTGGTGCAGTTCGGGAGGCTTTGGCAGCATGATTACTGAACAACAAATTTCCCGGAACGGCAAGTGCCGCATGCCAAGCGCTGCACGTGACAACCAAGGTGACTCCTGTCAGCAGTCTGCAGGGCTGGCGGTTATAAATTTTTCCCTCCCTTCATTGTCAGCTGGTTTCTTGTCAGCGCTTGATTATATAAGCTGTTTAAACCTCTCTAGCTTGGTAAAGCAAACGGCCCCCTTTACGCTTCAGGGCGCGATACCTGGGCAGGCGCTTCCTTGGGTAGCTTCAGCCAAGTCAATACGGCATACGGGCGACGCGGCACCGGGAACAACGTAGATCCTAGATTATACAGATCATGACGTCAATGTTTTAATGAACGAGTGAACGAGACTGTCCAACTTACAAGTTGACGATGTCACAATCACGACTTCCATGCGTCTCAGGTACCAATGCACTAGCCCGGTCAAGGATATTTAGAGCTTGTGTATGATCACATAATCTAACGTTGTATATCTATGCTGATGCTTGCCCTGGACCGTGTCTAAGCTTCGGCACGACGCCCAACCAGTTGTTCGATTGTTCATCTTCGCCCTGCTCTGCAGCGGCCGCTGCGTGCCCACCCCCAGACTCCCCACTAGTGTTCTTCTCCGCATCATCATATCTATCTCGAACTCCATGCCCTGTTTGCTGACTGCTTGCATCCTTTACCTCCGCCTCATGTTCCCGTACCGGTCTTTCGCTTCTCTCTGCCTCTCTCCGGGAGGGGCTTGCAGATCTAGGCGCATCGGCAGCCGCATGATGACTAGTCCGAGATTCCTCCGCCGATAAAATAGCACGATCCTCATCTATGCGCTTTTCTCCTCTGTCTTCTGCCTTGATCCATGTTTGCAGATCCTCCTCTGAAGGTTTATGGAAACACCACATCTCATCAGAAGTCGTGTATCCAGTGCCCATACCGCCTTGAAAGTTGCGCTTAAACTTTCTTTGCAGACCAGCAGCTAACCGTTTCCTGAACTCATTGTCAACTCGTAGTCGGGCAGCTATCCACTGGTCGTTCGGTCGGTGGTCGTTGGGCATATCTTCCATAAGAGGCGTGTCCAGAATCTTCTCATCTGTCATACATCGATTGATGATGGACTTTCCGCCTCCCGAGTCGGGCGTGACCAAGCGGAGGAACTCGAGGCTAGTGCTGACGTTGAGATCAATAGCTCTTTGCGGATGGACGGTGGCCTTCATGAACAACGATGAGACATGCTTATACAAGATCGAGAAGTCGCTTTGGTTGATATGAACGGAGCCTCGGACCGTAAGAAGATACGCAGGGGCACCATGCTCGCTGGCCTCCTTCATCAGGGACATGGACGCATCCCAGTTTTTCTGCCAATACATGAACGCTTCACTGGCGATTCCCAGCAGGGGGAGGTGTATTCGGTGCTTCGGGTCTTCCACAGGTGGCTTTACAGGCGCGCTACAAATGTGTTAGTTCCAATGTAACGATGGGGAGAAAGATATAGTCACCCCCAGATATCGTAGATTATCCCCGCTTGCACATTAGTAAATCTTTCGGTGTGCCTGAGCACTTCTACCACTGTTGCTGCTCCGAAACTATGACCAGCCACTGTCATTTTATCTACGTGAAAACGATGTTTCCATTGTGCCCAATCGATTCCGCCCAGACCTCTGGAAGAGCCTCCAACGTAGCCTTCGCCTCGGAGATTCTGTCGTGCGATTTCCTCTCCATCGCCGTCAGATATCATCTTGAGTACACGGTATGCTTCCTCGAGCTCGCAAAGGCGCAGCTCTATCTGTGCGCTGCGCAGTTCGCCGTCGACGCCGTGCTCATTGTTCGGTGCGGTGTCCATCGGGTTATCTTTGGGGAAGATGTAGTCCTGCTATAGTCAGCCTAATAGTTCCTGTATTACAGAACCTCACACTACGCACGACATAGTGATAACCTTGCGCAATTTCTTCGTCAGTGTGATCCAGATGCTGGAACTTGGCAAAGTCTTTGTCGTATTCTACGTCTCCGTCGCAATCCGTATGGTTCGCTTTCCCTCCTCCTTGGGCATCCTTTCTCCGCTTCCCTCGCTTCTTGTGATTAATGAAAGTCCGCGGTCCACTCCCGTCCCTATGCTCCACCGCGCACACGACGAAGCCGTAGCTCGCGAATTCAGAGCATAGGCTGCTGTATGCGGTTCTAGAGCCACCAAGACCATGACTAAACATCAACAGTGGCAACATGGGCTCATCGTTCATGCCCTCGGGCGGACTACCCTGCTGGTTCTTGATCTCATACCCGTCTTTCTTCATGTTGCCTTCCGGAGGCCAATGGGTCGCAGGAGGGGCGTTCCTAAAACCGCGCAATTTGGTGAGCATGGTAGTCGCGCCAAAGACGCCGATGCTTATAGGGCTCGGTATGCCAGCAAACCGCGCATATCCCTTCGCCGTCTCCATGCGCGGCCTTGGAAGCCATGTCTCGCGACTCCATTTCTTCTCTCCTCCTGGGGCGTTCCCGTTACCACTCCCGAACGAGGCTGGGTAATATAGTGTAAACAAAACAGTCTCTAACTGCAGAAGGTGCCGGCCCTTGCGCTTGATGTTGGAGATCGGACGAGGGTGTTCGACGGGGACTTCTATCTCCATGCTGCCTATAGAGTATGGTCCTGAAGTGGGAGAGAGGGTCGAGTTCGGGTAAGGGAGATGATCGCGTATCGATGCCGGTGGTCTCGTGCGTGGTTTCTTCGCGTTGGGTATCTTGCCCGAGGACGAGGGATTGAGGATGCTGTGTCGACGGGCGTCATCTTCGTCACCCGTGATGCGCGTCTTTTGACGCTCAAGGAAAGACATGGTCGATGGCAAGCGGTGGTGTGAAGGATGATCGAGGGTATCTTAGAAGAAAAAGCGCGTAACAAAACGGACGCGGTAGGACCACGCCTCAGGGTGATGAAAGCGATACAGCGATCGCGAAGAACAACGGCCGAGAATGCTTCGCCATGCTTAGCAGGCGCTAGGAGGCCCCGCCTGAAACGCTTGCCCCGCTGGCGAGACTGTGCGGATGCGCCCGGGAGACCTAGCTGTAGTGTTTGGTGTTTTGTGAGAATGCCGATGATGTCATGGGCCGGTTCCCGTGGAGCGCGTAAGTGGGGCCGATACCACTTCGCCGTCCCTGACGAGCGGAGACACTCGGCCCACATCAAGCATGACGCGAATCTGCTGGCGTTCAATTTAAGTCATGTTGAATTGAGCTATCAACTAAGATGATGGATAACATACTTTTCCAAAAGTTGCACAGTGTGCAATATAGCACATAACGCGAGATAGACAGAAGACATGCGCCAAACATATCATGGATGCAGACTCGGTCGCTTTGGCTCAGGCTATGAGGTCTTCGACCTGTCCACCACTGGATATTGATCGGTACCGAACGTAGAGTTGAGCGACACCTGTCCCGAAATCTTACCGTTCTCCATACGGATCCACGTGTCGACCACCTTCGCATCCAACATATCCTCCTTGACGACGATCTGACGCGCGCCCCGTGTCCAATCAGTGTAGCCACCGTAGCCTGAGTGACGATTGAAGCAGATGTTCAGCCCGTTTCCGTTGCTAGGAGAGTTGCCAGGGAGGTCTTTGGCCCATTTCATGCACCAGTCTACACCATGGTCGTGACCCGAGAAAACGGCCATGAGGTTTTCCGTCTCTACGAGCGCCTTCATGAAGGGAATGTCGGCTCCACTGTACTTGCAGTTGTTCCCAGTATGATCGCAAATATCGCCCTGGTTTCCTACACTCTCCTCGTTGATGCCTGGGTTCGCCGTCTTGGAACGCCCGTTATGTTGAAAAGAATCTGCAGCGTGTATCGGAATGTGCACGAAAGCCATGCTAGGAACCGCGCGGCCATATCGCTGGCGAAACGCGTTATTGGTATTGCGAAACCATTCGACAACCTGCAAGAATCAGTACGTTATGAATCCCTGTAACAAGAGTCTCATACCTTCTCGTCGACCCAGTTCGGAACACCGACATCATCACCAGTGGGTTGATACTTCATGCCTCCTTTGCTATCAAAGAACCACAACAGCATCTTCAGATCAGAAGCATCCGTAGAGCTGTACACCGGGACGAAATAGTTGCTCCAGCCGACTTGATTGATATCGCCAGACACGGACTGCGTCGTGAAGGAGAGTTTCTTGCCATTGTTGCCCTTGACGTCCGACCACATGTGTTCGGACATGGCACTAGTGCTGCAAGTCTTGGAAGCATCATGATTGCCGAATGTTGCACCGAAAGGCAGGTTGCGGGCGACGAGTGGAGCCACGATCTGATCGATCAACGGATTTGCGTCCTGAGGGGCCACCCACTCACAGGAGAGGAGATCACCGTTGAGGACGACGAATTCGGGCTGCTCGTTGTCGAGGACTGAGTTCATGACACCCATTGTTTTAAGGTCTGCGAATGGACGGCCACGCTGAGACTCAGCTACAAGTCGTTAGTATATACTAGTTTCAGGTTCATACGACGCAGAGAGATGCGATGACTTACGCTCACCGAAGTGAAGATCACTGAAGACGGAAATCGACAACTGTCTATCCGCAGCGAATTGGATACCTGCATAGTAGGGCGCGGATCTGCTGTGAAGCACAGCGGCACTCACCGTTGAAGCCAGCAGCCAGATGAATTGGGTAGACTTCAAGGCAGCCATAACGGGCTAAGTGGGATGTTGTAAGTTGATGCACTTAGAGGCAGCAGGTAGTCGAGCCGAAGGTGAAGCAAGATCAGTGGAAGTGAGGGTGCATTGCAAGCAAAGGAAGAGAGCGAGAGTGAAAAAATTGCTCACGCAGATAGCGAGGGTGAAAGTCAGGAAGGGGCGTGGGGGCCTACAACCCAACGGGGTCGAAAGTGAAGAGCGAGCGGCATCATGGGAAAGAGCTGATTGAACTCAACTCAGGTATTGTTGATACTTTACGTTGTAACGTCGATGCCGCCTACCTCAGATGCAGCAGTCGTGTGTGTTGTCTCAATTCCCCTACAATCTCCTCATCACGCACAATCTAATGCCATTCCGACAGAAACACAAGGACGAACGGCCCCAATACCAGCCCACTCAAGATTGGGGCTATTTGAAGCGTGGAGGAAGGTAGGCAGGGAATGAACGGCCGGGGGTCCGCTCTGGACGGTCGCGCTAGCCAAGACTTCCCCACCAAAATTTCCAGACGCGAAGTTGGGGATCAGTCCTTCACCTCCGCCGCCATGAACGCCGAGGCTTATCTGCGCAAGCAAGGCTGGCAGGGCTCAGGTCACTCGCTCGACCAGACCGGCCGCGGCATCAAGAAGCCGCTTCTCATCGCGCACAAGAACGACCAGCTAGGACTCGGCAAGAAGAAGGCGGCGCATACGACAGACGACCAGTGGTGGTTGCGCGCATTCGACCAGAGTCTGCAGAGCATTGGTACAGGCAAGGACGTATGCAGTCATGCACCACTGCGCGCGATCAAACAGCTAATTTCCCGCTCAGAGCACGCTTGACCAGATCCGCACCCAAGGCATCTATCGCGGTGGTCTCTATGGCTTCTTCGTAAAGGGCGAGATGATTGGAGGTACGATTGGAGAATCCTCAGCGACCACGACAGACGCATCGAATCCCACTTCCGGCGCAAGCACGCCTCCCACATCCGCATCCGACACCGAAACGCCCGCGCCTACCAAGGGGAAATCCGACAAGAAGAAGAAGCGCAAACGAGACGAGGGAGATGCTTCAGTTAGCAAAAAGGTGAAGAGCGACGCGGTCGAATCGAAGAATGAACAAAGCCCGGCTGGAGTCACGGGCAAAGACCTGAAGGCCGTAACGAAGAAGCTCGCGAAGCTGAACACCGAAGAAAAGAACGACTACGAGACACGCGCGAAAGCAAAGGGCCAGACACTCGAGCAATACGTCCTCCGTCGCATTCAGAAGAAGACAGAAACACGCGCTCCCAAGCCGGTCGAAGCGATCAAGGACAAGAAATCGAAGTCAGATAAAAAGGAAAAGAAGAGCAAGAAGGCGCAATAACCACGAAGATACAATGGTGTAGATGGAGAGAACAGTAGAGGATCACATCACTCGCAGGGTCGGCGCAGGATGCTCGCAGCCTTTTCAGGGTGGACCAGCCCTCGAAGCGCATGCGGGAGCTGCGCGGAGAGCAGAAGTAAAAGGATTCTGGCTCGAGGGGCTATATGCCGCCGATCCATCTTCAATGAGCCGGGCGTTATCGTCAGGAATGATACCCAAGTCTGTAGGGGCCGCTGACGACTACCCAAGGAACCTGGTCTGATAGCAAAACAAGGGCCACAACGAGAGCACCGGTGCAGAGAATTGACCGGGAAGCGCAATGTTGTAGAGTCGGGACTTCTAGGCGCACGTCGTACGTGCGGAATACTGTATCATACCAATGTCGCGATGTTGTAGACGAGTATTATTCGATCACTCAAATAAACAACATGAACAGCATCCACATCTTACATTTCACCATCATCTCATCCCCACTATTATACACTGCTTCGTTTCAACAATACACACAAACAACCCCATCGTAAAAATCGTCATCATCAGTCGAGAAGGGAAAGAAACCCCACTAAACTCATCGACAAGAAAAAACCTACCAAAAGCAGAAGTTTGTCAATAAATCACCTCTCCTCAAGCTAATTCAACCCGTCTTCCCACTCAGAATCCAGGGCCTCTTCTCCCAAAAATCATCTTTGATGATATCCACGTGCTCCATCAGCACCATCGCCTTACTCCGCTTCTTCTTATCTTTGTCCCTCTGCGTGCGACTCATGGGTACGGGCCATCCTTCATTCGCCTGTTGAGACGCAGTAGCTGCAGCCTTACCATTCGTTTGCGACTGTGGTTGTTTGCCTTTATCCGGCCTGGCCTTTGAAGAGTTGGACTTGGAGGGTTTGGATGTGCTGGTGTCTTTGTTGCGACTGCTGGTGGACGGGCGACTGGTGGGAAAGGCTTGGGAACTTGGCCCCGCAGCGGACGTTGAGGAGATTAGGGTGTGGAGATCGGGGCCTGAATGAGGGTATGGTAAGGTTGCTGATGTGGGCGCAGACTGTGTTGGTGTGGAAAAGGCGTGGAGTTCTGCAATACCTGGGTGGGAGATGTGGTCTTGGGTGCCCCAGCCTTGACCCGCTCTGTTGTCTGAGTCGCTCGGCCTTCGCTGAGGCGACTCACTGCCGTTGATGGCATACTTGCTCCAGTCTTGCCGTGGGCTGTTACCCTTGACCTTCTCTCGCGTGCGCATCTCTTCTTCTGCGCTCATTGGCGGACTGGGCAAAGCCTTGTTCTTTTGGATCGGCGGGCTGACTTTGCGGGGCGGCGTCGATGTCGCATCTCGGGGGCTGACGATGCTCTCCTTCTCATCCAAAGTATCTCTCGTGGCTTTGAGTGTTGACGTTGATCGATGGACCGGTAAAGACAGTTTCCGCGGCTTGCTGTTGGCAGGAATGCTGGATATTCGCAGTGGTATAGACGGAGGCTTCACTGCAGGTGTGCTAGATGATGCAAAATATGAAGGTAGAGAAGGTTGGCTCGGCGATCGTTGTTTGACACGCGAAGGCTTCACTTGAGGTGGGTATGAATGTGTCAAAGAAGCAGAAGCGGAGTGGGAGAATCCATGGCTGGCCGCTGCAGTGGCATGGTGGCGGTAGCCTGCTATGGGAAAATCTGCAGGAAAGTCGCCCTGTGGTGTCACTGGGGAGAAGTTGGTACGTGTTGTCGGATTTGGTTGGCTCAAGGACATCGGAGGCTTGCTGCTTGGCTTCAATATTGGCGGGGACAGCGGCAAAGGCGTCAACGAGGGCAGGTGTTGCTTGCCATTCAAGGAACCATTGTTGTTCCAGGTGGCAGTCGTTGGCGGAGAGAGCGGCATGGACGAACCTGGCACATCACCCTCACCATCGGAGCCAATCGGATTTGACCTGAGTGGGTTGGGGAATGCTGATCTCGACATCGTAGGCGGCGATGGCGGTGGTGATGGCGTCGATGTTGTGGAGAGAAAGGTTGGACGTCTGCACAGACCTGGATTCTCCGTCATCTCCTTCTTATCCGGTAGATAAGGGATAGACCTTTCAATAGACTGTGATGCGTGGTGATTGGACGCTCGCTTTGGTGTTGGCTGAGCGATTGGTGGCGTTGGAAAGTCCGACAGCACGGGTGATGATAATTGCTCGGTCGGTGGTGTAGGGAAAAACTGTCACAGTTAGAACGTGGACGTGAATATTGATGGTGCTGAAGTGTCTCTTACGTCTCTGTACAGCACCGTGCCTTTCTTGAAGCACTCTGGTTCGTTGTTGTAGTTGATTCCGAACTCCTTGAACAAAATCTCGTTCTTGTCGGATGACACTGTGCCTTTGAGTCTTTGCTCTGCTTCTCGCGCTCCCATGCCACCCTGCTGAACAAGGGTCCAGAAAGTGGTGTTGTACAGATTGTTGATATGACCTGCACGATGGTCAGATCCACTCTACGACTGACACCAAGAGCAAGCAAAAGATCCAGTCTAACAAGAAAAGGCAGGATGAAGGTGATGCATCAAAATACTTACAATCGGCTTGCCGCCAGCTCATATAGTGTCGAAGGTTGATATCGCTTGGGTATAGAACCGCACGCCCATCGAATGTCGGTAGGGGTGCTGTGAGTGGCTTATCCGGAAAGTATGTTGACCAAGAATACACATAGTAAGCAGTGAAAGTCGAGACAATCGTCGTAGTCAGTTTGCTAAACGGGGATCAGTTCTAGACGAATGACCACCGGAGGTGATAAAGTTGCACCAATAGGAGGATTCCCGTACCTGGCTCGTCGTTCGAATAAGGCGCAGTCCTTGTGAAAGACGAAACTGCGACCCACGTCAGCTAAGCCGCCCCGAAACATGCTGCCCCACCCCTGTGTATACCGCGCTGGGAACATTGGGCAGCTCGATGGAGGCATAATCAATCTCAAACACAACGTGCTCGAATAAAAGAATGCAACATACCTGTATTCGTCGCTGTTGCCAAATGCAAGGACAAGGTCGGGCAGCTCCTTCATGACCGCTACAGCTGCAGCATTCATGACATCAAGGCCATTCTTGTCGTTTGGCTTGAGGAACTCATATTTGGACGTGAATCTGTTCGCGCGTTGTTAACAATGGCCCTTGTTGGTGTACAATAGCCGAGATGTTGGCCTGGGGCAGCAATTCCGTTCATGCAACATGGTGACGGGTACCTGCATATCCCGGACCAAGAAAGTTTGCCACGGCGCAAGTGAGGGAGAGAGAATTGGTGAGCGTACTTGGAAAAGCCACGTCCGTCTATCCGTACTACGATCCAGGTGTTGGGAATCAGATTGTCGGGCTGCTCGAACCCGCGCACGTATTCGAATCTGGAGTCCGTTAGTTGAGGTCCGGTGAGCTCGTGCAGGCGGCCAGCTCTGGACGTTGGCGGCAGCTTCCCCACCCGCTTCGAAAAGCTATTGATTACTCACTTGCTGTTCGCCATTTATGGCCTCTCTGCAGATAACAACCTTTCTGCCCCTGCACAGGCGCACGGCATAGTCTTTGAGCGATGAAAGACAAGAATTGACGGACGTCAGCGTGAGCTTGTTTGCTGCTCAGGAGTGCGTGAGTGTGGTTTTGAAGGCTGAGAGTCCGGGGCTTAGGCTAACCCGGTGTGCAGTACAGCAAAAGACGGTGTTTCAGGTTTGCAGATGTAATGCAGCTACCGCGACAAGCTTCTCGAGCCGACTGAAGCGCGGATAACGAGCGCGCAATTGGCACCCTCCGAACTGGCTATCATGCATTGCGTGGGTTACCCGCGGGTCGCAAAGTCTTTGAACATGGGATAAGTCCCCACACTCCGTTCCGGACGATCTCAGGCGCTCGGGCCAACGCCTTCCTCTCCAGCAAAGCAACGCGCCCGCCGACACACGACCACCACCTTATCGCTTTCATGCACCAAGAGAAAGAGCTTCAGTGTACAAAGCAGAGTTGTACGCGTCCTTGCGCCAAGCCACTCTAGCATCTCCCCCTCATCGCACAGACAGACGCATGAAGCACTCGGACATGCGGCATCTCCCGACCCATACGTAGTTGCCGGAGCGGAGCGAGCGGTGAATGTGCTCAGACGCGTGCCTGTGCTTCTCGCAAATAACAGCCACGTGTGGCACCTGCTACGGGCTTCATGCTGGGAGGGATGGCGTAGCCTGACGCATACGGGACACCGGTTCTTTAGGAATCCAACTAAGGCCAGCCGCTACGCCATCCTCAAACAACAACACCATGCAATGTATACAAACACTACCGAAATCTTTCCGGATAGCTCCTATCCACCGGTTCTATAGCCTCTATCGCCACAATATACGTCTCAACCTCCGGAATCTGCAGCAGCGTCTTCGTCAAATCGCCGCGTTGAGGATTTAGGTTGTTGCCCAAAGATCTGTGGGGGTTCATACAGCAGCATGAACTCTGCACCCTTGTTTATTCCTCCTGAGCTTTGTCCTCTTCCTTGAGCGATAGCCTAGCGAGAGTATTCTCCTGGTGGTGGTAACCAAAGTGCGTCAGCCACTCAGCGATCGGCATACTCACAATTACAATTAGTTCTCAGCAGCACCAGGCATTACCACAAACAAAAAGCCGGGCCGGCGCATCAAAACATCAATCTCGGCCTTGTTATTCTCCGCTATTTACTGCAGGTCCCGTCCCGCACATCTCAACTTTGGATCGTCGGTCGATCTCGTGTCTTGGCACATATATGTTCCAAAGACAGCATGTGAAAAGGGCCGTTCTCACGGCTCGGCCAGAAACAAACGTAGTGGCCAAGACTTTTGATCTAGTTCTTACACGACGGGTATTGGCGACGCTGGCGTCATGGGTCTATGACGTGGTTAGTCTATGCCTGTTAGTATCAATTCTAGATGGCATACGACAGCTAGAAGCAAGACTTTCTGAATAATCACCCCCAAGCCCGACCTCAACGTCGAGATCTTGTGTTCGCGCTCGTCCTGTGATGATCCGATTGCAACTACTTCGAGTGGTACGTTAGGTGGTTGTGTATGTGATGACTCTGCGATGAGGACGTCGAGGTTAAGATGGAAGCATGTTGCAAGATGTTCATTTTTCTCGAGAGAATAAAGGGTTCACAAAACCATATCCCTGACGTCCATTTTCTCTGTGCATCGTGCGCCAATCCCACCGCTCTCGAAAAACCGACCTTCTTTCGCCTGTCCTTGCGCACCGCACCGCTTGATTGCCGATGAGATGTAGTCGTCCGGCGTCAAGCACTATCTTGTGATACTCCATGCGACTAGACTTAGACTGGCTGGTGATGTTTCGGAAAACACTTTTGTGGGTGGGTTCTTGCTAGAACTCCGATAATTGCATGTGTGCAACCAGGTGTCGAGGGCCTATCCCGATAGCAATGTAATATGCACAGAAGTTGGTGCACAGCTGTGGACTAAAGGACAAGAACACATGATTCTGGTCCTTCCCGCAGCTTCAAATTAGGTACTCCAGGGACCGCTTCGAGGTGGGACACGAGTCCATGTGGAGACTTCTAGACTCGCCGATTGAGATGTCGAATGAATTAAGCAAAGTGCCAAAGAAACTCATTTCAAGGCACCAATGCATTAGATCGGAGGCCGAGGCCCGGTGTCGGCGGGTCGATGGATAAAGGTGCCAGTTGCGGCATCAAGGATTTCATCATCAACACCAAGTCGGCTGCTTTGAACGGCTTCTGCATGATGCGGTCCTGTACAGCCTGTTAGCCTAGAAACGCTTTCGACGGTTATCATATACTTACTGCTCCAGCAGCAATAGCAGTATCGATCTGCTCTTTCCGAACGTTCGCCGTGACAGCAATCACAGGCAACCGTTCAGAAGACAGCACCCCCTGCTCTTCCTCCCTTTTCCGTATCTCGCGCATCGCGCCAAGCCCATCAAGTACCGGCATCTCCAGATCCATCAACACGATGTCAAACGTTTCTCTCTCCAGTATCTCGAGCGCCTCCAGGCCATGGTTTGCGACGGAGACGTGGCATCCCGCTTTCTTAAGTTGTTTGCCGAGCACTTGCTGGTTGATGATGTTGTCTTCGACCAACAGTACGTGGAGTTGTCGCATTGCCGCTTCCTCATTGCCGGTTTGTTGAAACATCTCTTTGAGGGTCCTGGGCTTCCATTCTACTCTTCGCGTCTTGACGTAGAAGCCAAAAGTCGAACCTTGGCCCTGAACGGATGACACGCCTATTTCACCGCCTTGCTTCTCAGTAAGCTCCTTTGAGATAAATAGACCTAGCCCACTGCCGCCGTATTTGACATGCGTCTTCACGTTCGCTTGGCGGAAGCGCTCGAATATCTTGTGAATTTCCTTCTCTTGCAAGCCAATTCCCGAGTCCTTGACGGTGAACGCAAGATAGATTTCTTCACCGGTGCCCCAATCTGGATTGCTTGTAACATCGCCGTCTTGCTTACCCTCGGTAGCCCAGAACATGTCTTCAGGAAAGAGTTCTCGGGGATCTGAGGTGCTGGCGCCATAGCGGATGGAGAGGGATGGCTCTTTCGATGGTTTGACGAACTTGATGGCATTCGTCAGTAGATTGATGAAGACTTGTGTCACGCGGGACGGATCCAGATGAAGGTGGTCAATGCCTAGGCTCAAGAACGACGTGTCAGGTGTGACACTGTAAGAGATGTTGTGCGTCTTCATCTCAGCTTGGAAGATGTTGACGATGGATTCCACGAGCTTTGCGGGTTTGACTGCGACGGGCGTGATGGACAAGAGCATGGAGTCGAGCTTACTCAAAGTAAGTACATCGTCGATAATACGCTTCTGATGATTTGCACATTGCATGATGACGTTTGCGCTTTGTATGTTGTCATTGAGAGTATCGAGACACGGTACAGGTATATCGGCGAGCTGCGTCTGGCACTCGACAACCGCGTTGGCAATCGCATCTGCGCAATGTACAATGGCGCTCAATGGGTTCCGCATCTCGTGTGAAACTACGTCAATGAAGGCTTCCTGCTGTCTTTTTGCTTCTCTTGCTTCGGCGGCTAATCGAGCCTGGAAGGTCTGCGCCCAGCACAGCCTGCTAATGTCAGTCGTACAAGCCATTACGCTTCTCACGCTTCCATGCTCGTCGCGGTACGGGAAGGCCAGAACCTGGATCTGGGCGGGCTCGGGATCCCCAGTAGGAGGCGTGTACATGCGCTTCATGCGCAAGTCGGCTGTGACGTGGTCGGCGCCTCTAATCAGACGCTCCCAAACATCATCAGCTTTTAACCGATCATCCTCGTGATATGCGTCAAGAAAGGCAAGACCGATGGCATGTTCCGAAGGAGATTTCCCAGCTAGCTCATAGTAGTGATCGTTGGCCCAGAGCATATTACCGTCAAGAGATACATGGCACATGCCAACAGACGCGTGATCAATCAGATGGCGTAGCTTGAGATCACTGAAAGCCAGATCAGTCTCGAGCTGCTCTTGACGCTTCTTGGTGGATTCATTGTCAACGGCAGAAGATATGATACTTGACACCATGCGACCTAGGTCCCGGATAAATTGCGTGCATATATCGTCGTGGGGGCGAAATGGATTGGTGCCGAAGACGAGGTAGCCGAAAAGGCGTGTTCCACTCATGATGGGCATTACGACAATCTTCTTGGAAGGCGCGCTCCAACCTCTCCACGAGGTAGCGAGAAATCGTTCGTCATGCTCGATAACCATAGTGTCTGTGCCAGCCCGTCGCAGATCTGGTATTAGTCCTTGCTCACTGTCTATAGTGGCTGTCTGGACAAGAAGGTCGTGCCCCTCGGGGAAACCAAATTGGCCATGGAGTATCAACTGGTTCGAGCCTGGGGTTGAGTCCATTCGATAGAGCATGGACATGGGCACATCGTTGGCGTTGGCTTCGAGCGTGGTGAGAATGTGAGAGCAGACTGCGTCGACACATTGTGAGGGCACGGAGGCGAGCGTATTCAGGCAGGTGGTACGGCGGTCTGCGAGCTTCTGGCTTGTTACCTCGTAGCTAGTTGGGTCAGCTGTGTATTGGAAATAGGTCACTGGGAAACGCGTTTTCTAGCTTGGTTACTACACGTAACTCACGTTGTATTCATGAAGCCCTCGATAGCGCCTGGCATGCCTACTGGAACAAAACCGCCAGAGAAGAAGGCCTCCTCTTGGTAGCCTTTGCGCTCGACAACCGTGGGCATGGCCGAGCTATAATTGACCCCAGTGCCTGTCCGCTTGGCCTGTATGAAGTACTGGCTGATGGACGGCCAGAGATCGGGAAAGCCATCCTGGAAGAGGGAGCCCATGAGGTTGGGGTGAGCGCCCCCGGCCAAGGGAGCATAGGCCTCGTTGTATATGGCAGTGAGGTTGGAGATGTCCTCTCCCCACCAGAGGCAGGCTCCGCGCGAATCGGCCAGTACATAACTTGCGAACATGCGCAGCGTCGGGCTCCACGTGCTCAGTGGCCCCAGGCGGCTGCGCGACCAGTCCGTGGT